TTTAAGTAAAACATGGTGGACACAAACAGAAGAGCTGCAGCGTTATAAACCCCATTTCTACCTCTATGAAGTGCCTTATACTATTTTGAAACAACAAGAGATGCTGAAATACCGTGCAACACATGAAAAAAAATGCTTTTAAAAAGTCAAAGATCAATTAAAATTAAAAGGAAGTTTGACCTTTACCGGGTATTAAATATATGTGGGATGTTAGTTTATTGATGATGTTCCAGAGATTTTTGAAGATATTTTTCTTTTCTTTGAGGTCCATGGACATAGATGAAATTCTGCCAGCAAACTGACACAAGAAATGTGTGAGAAACAACCTCTTAGATTTGGTCGGACAGGAAGGGAAGAAAAGTTGTTACATAGTGGTTGAAAATTGTGAGTCTGATGTACACAACATGCTAGTAGTGTGTCATCAGCATACAGCATAAATTATCATTAGGCTATACTGATTTAAACAAGATGGCATCTTTAAAATTAGAAGATAAAGTGCACAGTCTTTTGTTGCGTTCGGTAAGCCAGACAAAATCGGATTAAATATTTATAGCTATGTTCAAACGAGAGAGTAATAATTTGGATCTTAGAGTTGTTTAGCTTTGTTATTAACTCAGATGAAGTCTGTTTTATCAACTTAGAGGCGGGTCTTTTCAGCAGAGGCCGCCATGTTTCGTCAGTAGAAAAGTGGACGAACTCACTCAAAATTGAGAACTGTAGCCTAGCATGTGTGCTGGTTCTCCTACCAGTTCCTCATTACAGAGCTGAGCTAACCAATATCATTGTGGCTAAAACACTCACTCATGAACACCTCACTTCAAAAGTACTAAAGTATCCCTTTAATGCTAAAGGACATTCAGATGCTCTTTGCACTGGAAGCTAATGTTTGAATACTGAAGTATAAAGTGGACTGAATTCTCATAGGTCAGGTTGCTATGTGTTCACCATTTTTAAAGGCAAAGTACAACCCAGTGCAGGAAACACAAAGGATTCTGGGAATCATGACTTATTCACACAACAATTTGTCCACTTACACTCCAGCCCCGGAGAAAACAGATGGAAACCAAAAGATTAATCCTGCGTGTGTGCAGGTGTGTGTATGTGAGAGCAGTTTGTGTTTGATATATGTGAAGATGTACAGGTGTGCTGGTACACAGACAGGTTTAAATGATCTCAGCTGTGAATTTGAGCAAGGCCGAGCTGGAAGATCAAACCGCCACTTCTGTCAGCTAATTCCAGGAGAGCTCACCGCCGGATTAAGAGACGCAAATGAGAGATTAGACGGCATATGGAGGGAGGAGGAACAAAGCGGCAAATCAAATGCCACCCCATCCTGTTCACACCCCTGGATGCTCCCTCAGCCCCCATGAGGTCCCGCAGAACCCACCGGCTGCTCGGAAAGTAATTCAGGAGGAAATCAAAAATGGTTTCGCTCCACTTGTCTCATGGTTGGTCTCACTAATAGCCATCCTTTCCACACCCTGCTGTGACAGAAGCCTCACATCCCTCCGAACGCTCTGATGTGCCGTGAGCCTGACACATACAGGCGTAATTATTCAGAGGCTCCGGCTTCCAATAAAGAGCCCTGTGTGGATCTTTATCTGTTTTGGCTCTGTCAGGTGAGGTGGTGTTTGAATGTTAATTACCAGTGTTGTGCACAGTGGTCAAGTGGGTTATTGGAGGAGCACATCGACAAGTTAACACCTTTCGTGTGTGTTTAGTGGACAGCGTGAAGTGGAGCAGCGTCACCTTGAAAGCTCGGCGGTGCTTTTAAAGACACACAAAGGTGAAATTGCCACTAATCTGAACGAGCAGATCAAAAGCAGCCTTTGTGAGAGGACGGAGAGGAAGCATGGCAGAGTTTATTCAGCCCAGTGACGCATCGAGCTAATTAGCAAGAGTATTATAGAGGAAAGATTGCAGGAGAATTCACATCATCAGTCATGTCTCCGTCTCTGTAGTTAAATGAAGTGTTATCTTTCATGTCGGCGCCGGGTAGGAAGAAGAAGAAGAGAGGGGGTCGGGGGTGGGGGTTTGTCAGCCAGCGTTCAGGACACTCATTATCCCTCCAAAGTGATGGTCATGTTTGAAAATGACTGAATTTTTAATGCCTCCCTCCCACACTCAGGTTGAAAGAAGTGCCGCATTGGCAATAGATCTCAATCCAATTTACTGCCGCTGAAGACGCTCGCCTCTTCCTTCTCCTCTCTTTCTCTTTTCACTCCCCCACCCTCCAAAAAAAAAGGTTCCCCTATTCATCCCTCTGTCTCTCGACCATCATAATTTATGCACCAATCACGGGGCGCCCCTGCCAGTGCCAACGCAATTACGCCGATGGCTCCGGCAGCCATGTTTAAAAGCATTGTGAGCGTTCCAGATCTGGCAGTGCCTGGCGGGAGGAAGGTGGAGATGAGGCCAGCGCCGGGTGAAGGAGACACAGTTTGAAGATTTTCTGATGATCCACACAGAAAGTGGACGGCCAAAGATGGAGCTGAACTGCAGCCATGTAGCTCCAAACATGGGAAGCATAGCTGTTATGGAGTCTGGAGGTTGTGGAGGTCAAGCAGGGATCATCAAACTTAGCTGCTGCTGCTTATCTGTTTACTGAGGAGAGACTGAGTGCAACAGACAAACGTAAATCCTGAGTGAGGTTACAAACCAGACTGAATTTAGGATTTTTGAACAGCTGGTTTTATTAGCTAAAGAAGAAGAGCTCAAGACTTAATGCTGTTTCAATTTTTTATTTTTTTTTAATATTATAAAAGCCAGTGACTCTATGGAAAAAAAAAATATTTTTCTTTCTCTCACAGTTATCCTTTATTAGGTACACATAATGCAGTCTGTAAAATAAATAGATAAAATAAGTGGAAAGAATTTTAAGGGTTTTTCTTGATGTATAAAGATAAAAAAAATTTCCTGGTTAATAAAAATATAAATAAATAACTTTAGGTCATCAGGTCACCAGTATGAGCATCTTTGCTACGACAGCACAAAAATTTGTAAAAGATTATCACAGTAATCGCAAAGGACTAAGGTTGTGCAAAAACCCCCCTAACAATTTTTTTTTTACGGGAAAAAAATGGCAGCTATGTTTGCCAGAATAATGTTGTAAAAAAATACAGCAAAATGTAAAACACATTAAAGAACAACATGTAAATCTTACAATTTAAAACTGTAATCCTTTACAAATGAACATGATAAAAATCACATGCTAAATTGGTTAACTCATCATCCCTCTTCAGCCAAATTAGCATGACTTTGCCTTTATTAAAGTCCCCAAAATTCTGACTATGATTTGACTGCTATTTGATGCAAAGATTTTACAATTCAAAAACTTGACCTGGAAACTAAAAACAAACTATAAACAGGAAAATCTGTTGACAGGTGTTTAACATGTTTGAGAGGACCATTCAAATCATCTTTTTTGGTACCCATCTTGGACTATTGACGTCAAATGAACTAAACTTGTCTAACACAAACTCTTTGATGATTTATCCTGGCTCTGAATTGGAGTTTTAATCAAAGTTTTTTTGTAGCACAAGTGTCTGTTTACTGTTTGCTGTCATTAAGATGGTTAAAGTCAGACATGGGAGCGAGTTATAATGAGGCAGGTTTTCCATGTATTTGACACATTACACACAGATGGTGAAAACATGTAGAGGCACACACTGCAATATTACTTACAAATTGTGTACGCATCATTGTATGAATAGTGCTTTATACATAAGGCCTGATTGGTTGGTTGGTTGATTGATTGATTGACCAAGAAGCCCATAGTCTACAGCCCAATCTTCAACAAAAGGATAAGTCTAAATAACAAGTGTAAGGTGCATAAATGGAAAAACTGTCCCAACCATAGACTGTATATAGAATGGAAAGTGTCTGTCTTCTCGCTGGGTGAAGCCACTCCGAGAACAGCACCCTCTGGTGACGGGCTGCAGTATAGGTCATAAATCCCTGTCAGCCATCCTTATGAGGCTGAGGACAAACTTTAAATATTAATCACACAGAACATATTTTTTCCTCCTGCTTGCGATGTTGACATGTAGTTACTGTAAGACTGTTTTGTGCTCAAGTCCTCTTTTTTCTGTACAGCTCCGTTTTTAAAAGTTATTAGGGGGTTCATGTTTTCCAAGATTGAGACTTGATACAGCCTGTGGGTGTACGAAGACTGCATAGCTCACCCGGGGGATGTGCTGTTTGAGCTGAGCATCATCACAGAGACTCTTGGTGACTCTCCCACAGAATGCGTACAATGCTACTGTGCAATGTTGGTTTCAGGACGTGGAGAAAAATGCAGAATTACAGAGAGCTTTTTAGCTTTAAATCCGTATACTGGCAGAAGGCAGAACCAAGTTGTCCATAGTATATAAAGTCTATCGTCCCAACTCTGAGGAGCACAGAGAGAATCTGTCACTAAAACAGAGGATAAGCAAATGATTCAGCACTCTGCACTGGACAATAAAGGACTCGTATCACCTTCCCAAACCTAACTTCACTCAAGCCAATCAGGTACTCACACACCTGGTACTGCTCTGGACTGATTTCCTCCTACAACTCAAAGAATGACCACAGTGAACTGCCTTTCACACCAGATAGTGATCACGCAGTCCACACCCTGGCTCTCATATGCACCAGTTTCTGCAATATGGAGGAAGGGGAATTCCCCTCAGAAGGCAGGCGCTTCAGGGGGAATTCCCCACTGAGGGAGTGTGACATCACAATGACATGTAGAATGTGATGTCACACGATGACATCACATTCTATGTAGAATGTGATGTCATCGTGTGATCACGATGACATCACATGATGACATCACATTCTAGCTCTGATCCTTTGATCTTCAAAAGCAAACTCAACTCAGATCGCACACACTTGTTGGCAAGAGTCACGTAGGAGCTACTACAGAGACAATCAACAGTTAAGTCACGTAGGAGCTACTATACTACAGAGACGATCAACAGTTTAGAGCAGTCAACTGAAGACTAATCAGAAGAACCATGTCCAGAGCATTCGCACCTGAATCTGTGGGACTGCTGGGCTACCGGCCCGTGGCACCACTTCAAGAGGAGCTTGACATTGCTTGCGCTGAGATTATAAATCTTAGACGCGAGCAAAGGGATGAACGGTTGGCATGGAGGGATGAGTGGATAAAGCTGAACCACAGAATTCACAACGAGAAGTACAAAGTGAACCGTCTGGAGGGACTCATTGACGTCAGAGAAAATGGATTCAAGGAGGAACTCCAGAAAAATGTCCAGACAATTGAAAGGCTGGAGGCTGAGATCCAATGCCTCAACAGCAGCCTCAAATTAAGAGACGAGCAGGTGGAGCTTATCCAGTGCCTGGAGAAGGAGCAGAAAGAGAAGATGTGGGCTCAACTTAAGGAGGAGATACAGAAAGTTTATGAGCTCCGAAAACAGCTTTTTCAGGCGACTCAGGAGAACCTGAAGGCTGTTTCTCTGAGCAAGAACAATGAAACAATGCTAAAGCTCACAAAACAGCAGCTTGAGCAGAGGGACAACCACATCATGGAGCTGAGTAGGGAGAACCAGATCCTGAAAACCAGAGTCAGTGAGCTGGAGAAAATGAATAAAGATCTGGTGGAAAAGGAGGAGACTCTTCTCGTCTCTCGAAAGAAAAGAGGCTTCCTGTCCAGAGTCTTTAAAAAGGAGACAGAGGAGGAGAAAACCCTCCGAAAACAACTTAAAGAGAAGAAGAAGGAATTAAGGCAGCTGAGAGAAAGAGAAAAAGAGGAGGAAAGAGAACAAGAAGAAGAGCAAAGAGAACATGAAGAAGAGGAAAGAGAACAAGAAGAGGAAAAAAGCAAAAAACAAGACAGGGGGAGAAAGAGAGTCAAAAAAGGTCTCTGGACCCTAAGAATGAAGAAAAAGAGAGACACCCGGGTGAAGGAGGTTGCTGGTTGCTCGGCTGATGTCGAGGAACATTAGCTCCTCTTCCTCCCTCTTCCTTCCCTACCTTAACTCTTTCACCCTACCCTCTGACATTTCCTCACCCCCTGATATTTCCTCAACCCCCTCACCTATCCCTCATTCCTTTCCTTCAACCCCCCCACCCCCTTTTCCCATTCTGTTACCAACCTTTCACCTTTCTAATGATCCCAACCCTAACCCTCTTTCAATTTCCAATTAAAAAAAAAAAAAAATTTTTTTTTTTAAAAAGCTGCAAAAAAGCAAATATATATATATATATATATATATATATATATATATATATATATATATATATTAAATGTATAAAGAATATAAATTGAAAAAAAAATAAATTAATGTATATATAAATATATTTATATTTAAAGAAAAATAAATAAATAAATAAATTTAAAAAAAAATAAAAAAATAAAAAAAAATATCCCCTCCTCGGGCCACCACCTTATCGTGGTGGAGGGGTTTGCGTGTCCCAGTTATCCCAGGAGCTAAGTTGTCGGGTGCTTTATGCCTCTAGTAGGGTCACCCAAGGCAAACAGGTCCTGGGAGAGGGATCAGACTAAGGGTGGCTCAAATAGACCTTTGATGATGGGTAGTAGATTTACTATATACCAGTGGCGATTGCTCTAAGACTGCAAGGGAAGCTCGGCTTCCCTTAAAATGTCACCCCCCCAAAAAAAGAAAAAGTGGTGAAATACGTACGGCTGTGTGTACATTTCATTAGCTAAATACGCACTAGAAAGCCTTCAACTTTTGTTCAGACACTGTGATAAGAAGCTGATAATCACAGGTAACCGGCATAACTTCGTTCTCATTCATCCTCGCAGCGCCTCAGCGCTTTAAACAGCCGGACGCTGGGCTTCTGCTGACTTCAATGTGGAAGCTTAAAGTGGGTTGTTCCAGCAGCGAAACTAGACGCTCATTGGATAAATGCTGGGCTTTGTCCCGCCCAATGGAGGCCCAGCTTCACTGGAGTTCTATGGCGAGAGGGCGGTCCCTACTTTCTCCCGGACTCCAAGCTTCTGCATTCATGATTGGATGAGCTGTCTGAGGCGAAATCCTTTTTTGATTGACAGCTAAACAAGCGAATCAGCGATCTTGAAGAATAAAACATCTACTAGAGCATTTTCCAAGTCATTCATTCCGTTGTTCTTAACTGCTCCAGAGACTTTACCGATCCTCAGCGACTTTTGTCTTTGTTAAAAACGACTGCCGTTGTGTTTGGCGACTCTGTTCTGTTACATACTAATAAACAAATACAATTATGATGTAGGCCAGAAAAATGAGCTTCCCCTCCTTGAAAGACCAGCCACCGCCACTGCTATATACTGAGTTTTACTCAGTATATGGTAACTCATCATACTCATCATCATTACTCATCATATCATATGTCATATTGTATCGCATAGTATCATATCGTATCATATTGTTCTGTATTGTATCATATCATAATCTCCTCGTTAGTATAGTGGTGAGTATCCCCGCCTGGTAGCGGGAGACCGGGGTTCGATTCCCCGACGGGGAGTGGAAATCCTGATGAGAATTTCCCAGTTTGGGATCAATAAAGTATATCTGTCGCATCATATCGTATCATTTTGCACCATAGTGTATCATATCACATCATGTCATATTGTCGTATTGTACTGTATTGTATCGCATGGTATCGTAACGTTTTGCACTGTATCGCATTACATCATATTGTATTGTATCGTATAGTATAGCATTGTATCGTATAGTATCATATCATATAGTATCGTATCGTATTGTATCGTGATGTGTCTTGTTGTCAAGTATCCCAATAAATAAGAGCAAAAAAGGTTAGTTCATCTGCTAGCAAAACATTTGCCAGTTGTGGCCTTGCTTTGCTCGCCAACCACATCAATTGACAACTTTAAGAATCTTCTTGGACACTGGATCAGAAAAGAAGAGATTCACAATTTGGCAAACACTCAATATGAGGAAAAGCCCACAAGCTTTATCTTGGCATTTTTTTCTCTTCTTCGTTTTTCTTTTCTCTGCCCCTGAAGGATATGTCCTTTTTTGCGACATTGTTTTGCCCCACAACTACCTGCACTTTGGATGCTCAGTGCACGTTGCACAGCAGAAGGCACATAATGGTAGCGGAGCTTTGACATATCGGCATATCTCTCTCTCTCTCTCTCTCTCTCTTTCACTCAATATATGATAGAAAAGATCTTTTGTACTTCCCTGACCCCTAATGTCACTTGTACAAGATTTCTCTCTGATGTTTTTTTGGCCTTTTTCTGAATCTTTGATTAATGAAATCTTCAAATCAGGTTTGTCTTTAAAATCAATTCATCAACTATCTCTCAAACCCCCATGTGATTATTTTTGCAAATGTTGGCTTAAAATCCATTTCTTACTCAAAAGAAAACTTGAAAAGCAAATGTTTTTTTGTCAGCATGCTGTAGGACCAGAACATTTGTTCATCAACATTGATTTACTGTCATTTATTTGACTGAAAATCTTCAATATAGTAGTTTAAGGCAATTTTTCCCTGTACAATTGACACATGGTGGTTGCTTATTTTACATCTAATCCCATTATATCATTGAAAAACATCAGACACAAGGCATTATTAAACTGTAAAAGCCTCATTATAAGACAGTAATTTTACTGATTTTTTCTGCTTCTTCAGTGGATTTGACTGACATGTATGCCTCTGTTTCTTCTGTGATGTGTAACTCACAGAGGTGTGATGGTAGGACAAAGGCTTTGCACCTTTTTCTCCAACAGAGATGAATTGGGAGTAAAATGGTGAGGGGAAAAATGAGAACTAGTTTGAGCCTTCAACATTGTTCGCTCTTTGTGTAATGGTTCCCTGGTTAAATGTGCAAAACAGAAATATTATGTATCCTGACAGAAGATCTTTGTGAATGACAACTAAGGACTAGAGGAAGTAGAGACAGAAGAGAGAAGTAGCCCAAACCCAAAATAATAGTGTTGTGTTTACACTCTAAATATGGAAAAGTGTGACATTTTACTATGAAATCCACTCACTTTGAGGGACTAGCAGCTTTCTTGTATGTTTCTGTGGCATCCGGGGATCTTCAGAGAGAAGATCAGTGTGCTATCAAAGACTGGCCAGATCCAGTCCCTGAAAAACAACGGTAATCTGTGATGATTTATGTATAGATTTTAAAAAAACAGAGTTGTTTGAGGACTGTGCTGGATAAAGGCTGCCATATTTGCTTTGATCTGTTTACCAGTCCAGGGGCTGTGAAAAGAAAAATCCACAGGGATCAATATAGATGCAGATTGATAAGTAGGCTTAATAATCAGAATCACAAAATTTCACTTATCTTGGGGAGAAAATTCGGTAACAGCATTAACAAATTCTTATCAATTCCCGTCCTTAGAAAAGGTTTTTATTGTTATCTAAATATTTATTTCCATTTTTAAAGCACAAGTGGGAGAGTCCTCCCTTTTCCTCCCGTCACTGTGTTTTTATAACTTTTAAGTTCATTCTGATTAATTTATAGGACACCCACGCTCTCACGCTCTTTTGTGGGTATCATACTGGAGTTGATCATGAATCCTCTTCCTCCTCCCAGTCACTGTCACTGACGAATAGTGTTTGGGTGAGAAATCAGGTTACACTGTTAAGTTATTTTAGCATGTAAAAGTTTAGACCCAATCTTAAGATGATCCTTCTCATTGACATGCTCATTGACAAGAAAAAAAAAACAAGTATTGTGACAAATATGGTTCTGACATTTTTTTCCCCTCTATAGGATATATAGGTCAATGTCATTGTTATTATCCTTATGTATGTAAACTCTGGTACACCCATGTCTTAAACTTGTTTTATTTTGAGTTCAGTGAAACATTGTTGACAGAATACTATTTTAAATGCAGTCCAGATGGATTTCTACCAATGAAAACTTAAGATATGCCAATCTTTGTTTCTTTGTGTAACTGTCTGGTTTGCATCACATTTCTCTGCCTCATCTGAAATGTTTTCATTAAAAAAGACACCAAGTGGTCCCTGTAGCTGATGGTGCTAATGCAAACTAGCACTAACTCCCTGAAATGACAAACTTTTGCCTGTTGTACTCCTGCTGTGCTTCCTTGAAAGTCAAAGGAGTAGTTGCATTGTCTCATGAACTTTCAATGGTCCTTTCTGTCCGCATGTTAATATTTGTATGTACTACATCATGTTGTTTTCTAAAATGATTTTAATGTATGTTCAGGAGTTGACTCTCTTTCCAAGACATTGACCATTGGTACCAGGTCCCCCCAAGGACCATGAGTCCTTCACAGGCCTGTTCTAAAAAACCCAACACACCAGTGAGCTGTGTCTAAAATCAAATTTATTTTTTAGTCACACTTGCATTTATATTAATTTGAAAATGACAGTAACTTAAAAATAAAACAATTAAAAATATGTACCTTGTTCATGAAGTCTAGATAAGTTTAGGTGAACTCCAACCTATTCTAGTTCAAAGGTCAGTGTCAGCTAACTATTCTAGTTGACAAAACTTCAGTGTTCATGGAGAGTAAACTAATGAGCTCAGCAAAGACAGGGAGCTAAATGCGGTTTCTTATGCCGAATATTTGGCTTCTCATCTGTGCTGTAGATCCTGAGAGGAACGTTTACATCATGGAAAGAGCTGAAGGACAGATGCTGCACCACATCTTCGATCATCACTACTCTACCATCACACAGTGTCGGTTTGACCCTCAGACACAGCGAGCGGCCACAGTGTCTGCAGACTGGGGCATCAAACTGTAGGACCTGCAGACCAGGAAAACCACAGTGACGGTATCTTTGACTGCTGCTTCACCAATAACGGGTGCTTACTTTGCATGGCATCATGGGGTAAAAGTTTGATGCTGTGGGACTTGCAGTCAGAGGGTAGGGGGTCACTGCATGGTCATGAAGGCAGCGTCAGCTCCTGCAGCTTCTCCTCTGAAGAAACCCTGCTCGTGTCTGGCTCCTATGATCGAACTGTGGCATTCCGGTATAGGTACACCCTCTG